TCACTGAATTGTGAGTGTTGTAAACACATGAGCTGAGACTGCACTTTGTTAAACTTGTATTTTTGTCTGTGCACAGCATTTTATTCACCTCTGCYCGCTTCGTATCCACTTCAGATTGCTTCCTCCCCAAGTCAGCAGCCACACCCAAAAGCTTCCATGCAGCTGTTAAATAAGCCTTTGAGTGAAGTTAAYGATGCCAGAGAAAAGACAGGTTTAAGATGCCTTCAGTGATTCAGACTGGAGAGGAAATTTGTTGTAAATATTTTTGAACACGTTGATAATTCAACCTGAGGCTGTGCGTCTCACAAGGAGCAGTCAGCCCAGTGATGATCCATCTTTACATCAGTACAGAAATCTCCTCAGTGTATCATCTCTCTATCAGTTCAAATCATAAATCCATGAACAGATTCAGCTTCAAACGTTGGTCTCTTGTGTTTGCAGGTCAGAGATGGCCCTCACACAGGTGTCTGCCAATAAATGTGCCGGTGGCTTCCAGAAGGTTTTTGAACATGACAGGTGGGACGTGTTTACCTAACCTTTGACTCTGTGGACTTTCACATAGAAATAGTGACGTTTACTGAAGACAGTTGGACTCATGCGTCTCTTCTTTGCAGCACTGAGCTGAAGTGTAAGATGAAGTTTGCCATCTATCTGCCCCCCAAAGCTGAAACAGACAAATGTCCCGTCATGTACTGGCTGTCCGGTGAGGCCCAAACCCAGAATAGTAACAAGACTTAAAGCAAAGTTCAGTTATGTTTAAATCTGAACTATATTTTAATGAATATTCCATGTCAGGTCTGACGTGCACGGAGCAAAACTTCATCACTAAAGCTGGTAGTCAGCTGGCTGCTGCAGAACACGGCATCATCATCGTGGCTCCAGACACCAGCCCACGTATGGCCACACACACACACGCAGAGTGCACGCTGGGTTTTAAAATCAGTTTTCAGGAAACCGGTTCTCCTCCTCCTTCAGGCGGCTGCAACATCGAAGGTGAAGATGAGAGCTGGGATTTTGGTACCGGAGCTGGTTTCTATGTTGATGCGACGCAGGACCCCTGGAACAGCAACTACCGCATGTACACTTACATCACTGAGGAGGTACGGTGGATTAATGTCACGTTTAATTATTATTCAACTATTGTCACAGTCGCTTCTCTCTTCTGTCAGCTCCCTAAACTTATCAACGCCAACTTCCCCACTGACCTGGACAAGATGTCCATCTGYGGACACTCCATGGGCGGCCACGGGGCGCTCATCTGTGCCCTGAGGAACCCTGGGAAATATAAGGTACTGTCTGCGTGAGTGATGGCACGCCTCCTCATGTTTCTGGTGTCAGGAAKTCATTTTCTCTCTCCTGCAGGCTGTGTCTGCCTTCGCCCCCATCTGTAACCCCATCCAGTGTCCCTGGGGTCAGAAAGCCTTCTCAGGGTACCTGGGCCCTGACAAGTCCACATGGGAGGTAAAACCAGTCCTATAAAACTGAACCGGTTCCACGCTTTTCTGAACTGTTCGGTGAAATTCAGGATTTCAAGCAAACAAGCGTAATCACCATTTTGTGAGCAAGTTTTCAGTCAAGGCTGATTTCCTGTCYTCCAGGCGTACGACGCCACCGTGTTGGCAGCGTCGTACTCTGGCCCTCAGCTGGACATCCTCATCGATCAGGGTCGGGATGATCAGTTCCTGTCGGCCGGTCAGCTGCTGCCTGACAACCTGATCGGCGCCTGCTCCGACAAGAAAATCCCCGTCGTCTTCAGACTGCAGCCGGTCAGTTCCTGTGCTCTTTACCAACATAAAAGCACTCATTCAARGCTCAGATACTATAAATCGTTACTGTTTTTTAGGCTGTAATGTTTGAATTAAAAGGTTTTATTTAACAAACTGCAGGCACATGTCTCCAGCTTGTATAAAGACACTTGGTTGTTGTTTCCTCATGCAGGGCTACGACCACAGCTACTTCTTTATCTACTCCTTTATCAACGACCACCTGAAGCACCATGCCAAGTACCTGAATGCCTGAGCTGCTGCTGCTGCTCTCCAACATCTGTCTTCTGTGAGCTGCTGCTCTCCTGCCGACTCAACATGACTTCCTGCAGGACTGAGAACAAACTAACTCTAATCAGACAAACTAAGTGGAGTCAGTGATGTTTGATGCTTCAATAAGAGCAGAGAAACAGCAAACCAGTTTTTAATGAGAACTGAGTTGTCAGTAAAGAAAGGCTGATGTTTGAGAATAAAACTTCTATCAGTTCTGTGTTGATTAAAGTGTTTCTGATGTCAGATTTTCATGATAAATTCAAATACATTATTGAAAATATAATACTTATAACATTGTTAAAAAAACTTTAGATTATCAGGCGCAGGAACAGGAAGTGATGTAAACAGATCTGCTGCTAAAACCAACAAACAGAAGACAAGAATCGTTCCTTAGATTATTTAGTGAGTTTGTATGAATAAAATCCAGAAAATTCCTCTTTTTAAGAAGTTCTTAGTCACTTCCTGTTTCGCTGGCTGCACGGGTAAAAAAATATATCCATWATGTAAATCATGTTTCATGTCAAATTTCTTCCACTTTGTAGGAGATGCATGTTCCAGACATTGGAGCAGTATGGAGTGACTCTCAGCCACTCGATATTTATCAAACTGAGTTCTTCTAACACTGAGCTTGTTAAGGTTGATTAACTTTATGAGTCAACAAGCTAAAGCTAACCAGTTCTAGATAAAAACGTTGAGTTTCATTAAAATTTCTTCAGTGATTTGAGACATTTTGTTGACAGAAACAAACTTCAACTGTTCATAGTTTGACAATAAGGAAGTCRAATCAGGCTGAGTGTTTTATATTGAACTCTGCTGGTGATGTGAGAAAAGCACATTTAGTTTTGATGTGAGGTTTTTACTTAAGAGAAAAAAAGATCCAGTCCAGTATTTACAGTATTCACAGCAGTTAAGGCAACATCAACAGGAACATTTCATGCATGCTGTACAACAAATCGCACCAAAGTTCACAAAGTTACATCAAAAAGTTCAACAAACCTGAAGTCACAGAAAAATAAAATTGCTCCCAGTCAGAAAAATATAAAAATGTGAATACAAGCCTTTTTAAAACATTGATATCAAAAGAAGGGATGAAAAAAAAAAGATGAAACCCACCACAGCTTCACGCTCAGCACAGATTTACTGCCTCGAAAACTGATTAATTCAAACACTTTAAAGGGAGGCAAGATTTCTTCAGTTGCCAAAAACAAAAGAAATAAATATAAAAGTTTAAAGTGCAGAATCCATCAGGAACCAGGTTGGTTTTATTGCAGGTTCCTGAAACACACGTCAAAAAAAAAAAAAAAAAACTGGAAGACAAGTTACATGTGATTATATGAAGACCGTGTTCCAGCCTGCAGAGCTGCTGCGAGCCTGATTCTCATCTGCTGAATCAAATCAAGTGAACATCAGGAATGTAAATATACTGCTCTTGTGCCTGAAACAAGAAAAAATAATACTGTCAGCAGAGATTTAAAGCTTTTAGATTTACAACCATGACCCCGAAAACATCAGGATGTGTGTAAATGTGTTTAAATAAAAACAAAATGAAACGATTTACAATCTCAGCAACCCATATTTTATTTACTTTGGGAAATAGGGAATATTTAAACTATAAATTTAACGGCTGCACATCTCAAAACCGATTATGTTGAAGCCGTATGTGAACACCATCCAGAAACACAGCGGTTCTCTCTGGACCGGAGCTCATTTTCATAGACTTAAATTATAAAAACGTGCAATCAGATGAATTAGCATTTGAAATACTTGGAAACCACAAATCACTGACCTCTGTACAGATGGAGAGGAATCATACAGCTTGTTACCAGTGCTCACTTCAAAAGCTTCTTTGATGGTATGGGCATTAGTGTCTCTGACAGACAGCTTACAGATATGGAAAAGCACCATTATACATACAGATTTTACAACATCGGTTCTTGATCAGTTCTGTTCTATTGCGAATAAAATATGGGTTTACTGAGTATGAAACTATTACATTTTATTTTTATTTTACAGAACATCCCATATTTGTCAGAGCTGAGGCTGACTATGAACAGACTAAGTCCTGTTTAATGAAGCAGCTGGTAGTGTTGAAACATGGTTATAATTAAGAACAGGCCGGCTGACGGTAAAACTGTACAGTACATGAACAAACTTAGAACAGGAAGTTCTTGTGAGAAATAATATGTACAAACTTTTAAATAAACAAATTTATCACAAGAAAAAATAAGTTTGTTTTGGCAACTGTTGAATCTCTCCAGTGGAAGCATTAAAAGCTTTCTGATGATTATTTAAAAATTAAACTTTATTGAGAAATGTTTAAGTAGCTCAAGCTGCACAGAAACACACACACAC